AGGAAACTCATTGTCACCAAGCCAGAACATACTGATAGCTGACCCTTCAGCTGGTTTTCTGAGTCTATAAGTGATAGTCCACTTTTCTTCCATGGAGTAGCTACTGGATTCTAACCACCAGAGAGACGACATTTTTTGGATAGTCTCTAGGGGCTGTGCCACACATTGCTTATCCAATAATGTGAAAGTTGGACAACGACTAAAGAAGGCCCAAGAATAACTGATTCCTCATAATTGAAGGGTTGGTCAAGAGTATTGAATACACCTGGGACTGCCAAAAGAACAAACAAATCTGTTATGGAAGAAGTGAAGTCAGAATGCTCTTTAGAAATCAAGATGGATAGATTTCATCTCACAGACTTGGAGCATATATATCATCAGGAGGGACCAGTCTTTTGAGTACATCAGGCTTGGATGAATGGATGGTCAGTGGAGAAAAAGAACTTCAAGAACTGGTCCAGTGATGAGAACAATGGGTTTAAGGGCAATGGACATTATGAAGATGGCACACGATTGGGGAAGGGTTTCATCTATTGCACACAGTGTTGCTATGAGGAGTTGTCTTGTCAGCACAGAACAACCACACGTGTCAGTTGCCTAAAAAGGTTTTGTTAAGATTGAATAACAAAGCATTTTGAAGACTATCTTGGCAGAGTGATAATAATGAAATAATAATATTTCATAGTCCTTGTGAGGAGGGCACAAGACCCAGAAATATTTTGTTCTATGAAACATGGAGTCACTGTGATCTGGAATCAACTCAACAGCAGCTGACACTAGCTGTTATTAGTATAATATATCAATAATTATTAACTATATATAATAATTTGGAAGGAGGAGTGGCATCCACTTCCATAATAGCTTGCCTCCGGAAACCCTATGAACTTGGAGAGAGGATGAAAGGCACCCAAGCGTCGAGGACTCTCCTTAATAGGGTTGCTATGAGTCACCTGAGACTCGACGGCACTTAACAACAACAACAACATATATAATAAATATTAAGATAATATCTGTTATTGCATGACTTGCAGAGATAAAATACCTCCTATGTGTTAACTTGCTTAATCCTTATAAAAGGCATAAGGTAGGCCTTTTTATCTTCACTTATGAAGAAACTCAGGCACACTGGGGTCAAATAATTCAACCAGGACTGTAAATAGAAATGCTAAATGGTTGTCTCCAGTGTGTATATTTTGAAAATCCATTATGAGTTTCTCCAGAGTTCATTATATATTAACACATTGCCGCACACTTTTAAATTGACGACCGTGCTTAGAAACACATTTTGCCATCATTTGTGGCAACATGTTAATTGGCATGTGTATTTACAAAGTATCACATTCAAATCACCATCCTTGGTTTCCTGACACTTACCTGTTCTATCCAGACTTTCCTAGATTGAGATTTCTTTCTGTTTCATTTGGGAGTTTTCAAGGTTTGTTTTATCTACATTTCTAAACAACTTCATCTATTAGTTACCATCACGTTCTCTGTGTTGTAGATTCCTGCCTAGGAGCCTCAACCGTCACAATAATGGTTTTACATTCCCTTCTGGCTGTTTATGTTTATGTTGAGAGCTTTACTCCTTAAAGGCCCTTAATAGCCTGTGTTATGAAGAAACAAGGATGTGTCTTTTCACTTTTCCCTCAGGGATGTGAGCAGAGCTATCTGTGCCCCTATTGCCCTACGGAGTCCATCGGGGAAACAGCTCTTTTTGTTTCTACTATAACATTTTATTCCCCAGAGTTTGACTCAAGTCCATAAAGTCATCTTTGCTCTCTGTTAACAAACTCTCAATATTCTTAACGAAAAAAAGAAGCATTCTAGTACTCACCATTACTTTGCCGCATTTCCTTGGAAGCTTAGGAAACTCAATTTACACCATTAATAATATTTAAAACTAAATGTAACGCACTGTATCTATGTCTGTATATTACCAGAGTGGGAATCTTTCTCCTATATTCCTGATTACTATAGTCTCTGGGTCATATAGAGAAGCAAAATGTCAACTTGTCGTGTTTAAAGCATTTGTTCAATTTTCTCCCAAGTAGTTGCTGGTGGATTTGAACCACCAGAGAGGAATAAACTTTGGGTTAGTAGTACAGGTTTCATAATAAACCTGCTTTGGGTCAGACAATACTATTTTCCATAGATACAGGTATAAACTGACAAAAATTTTATACTTTCTCATATTATGATATTTTTTTTAAAGTATCAATTTCTTCCCTCATTTCTTGAAGTAATGTTAAATGCCAGGGTGAGAGCATTTTTCTTGAGAATGTTCTCATTTTCTTAAAGTTTAGCTTGAGAATGAATAGGGAAGTAATTCTCTTTGACCTTCACCCAGTCATTTTAGCTCTGCTTTTGAAAATTTGTGTGCATTGTCATTCAATATTATCATGGGTTGAGGCAGGAGGCAGGCATCACCAGTCTCAGAGGACCATAATGAATCATAGCTATTCTACAGAAATTTTCTGAGAAAGCAAAAAGAACAACTAGCCATTATGCAAAAGATAGTTCATGAAAGGCTGCCCTAAGTACTTAGTGTTCTAGATCAGACACAGACAAAGCGGAGGAATGAGGTTTCTATGTCTTGTAAATGTTTGTAATCTGTGTTAACAGTGTCTTTGAAAACCCCAGAACAGACTCTATCAACACTTTGTTTCATTTTATGACTGCCTTAACTAAATGATGTACTGTCTATTTATAGGAAGTATCTTCTTTGTATTTCTATTGAAATTTCAGCTTCTTCTTTTTCAAAAAGGCACTAAAAAGGCAACATTTTGTTATCCATTGCAGTCAACTGAAATAGTGAACACAATTAGAAGACAACGAGGTTTATTTTTAATAAACTGCATTAACTGAATAAGCTTCACAATTACTTTGATTTACTGGCTATTTAGTTTTGGTGTATGACTTGTGTTGCAAATGTATATGTGTAGTAACCTTGTAAGTATATTTATAATTAGTCATATTAAGAGTGTAAAATGTGTAACATCTATACCTTACTAATGATTATTATGGTAAATGCATAATGAATATTTATAATGTGAGAGTGTTTGCCATGCAATATTTCATTTTTTCCTTACAAATGCCCTATTATTGGAAAACTGTCTTCAGAAAACTTAAGCAAGACCCACACCTCACACCTTATACAAAAACCAACTCAATGTGGATCAGGGACCTAGAAATAAAACTATAGATTATAGAATTTCTCAGAGAAAAGATAGGAAAAAGTTTAGAAGCCTTAATTTACAGCATAAACACTCTTCCAAGCATAATGAAAAACTTACACGCAGGAGAAAATAAAATAGATGATCAGGAATTTCTAAGAATCAAATCCTTACATTTATCAAAAAACAAAAAAACCCTTCTTCAACAAAATAAGAAGAAAATCCACAGACGGGGGAAAAATATTTGGCAATGAAATATCTGATAAAGTACTTACATCTAAAGTTTATAGAATATTCCAGAACCTCAACAAGAAAAGTGTGAACAATCTAATCACAAAATGGGTACAGGATATGAATAGGCACTTCACCAGAGAGGACATTCAGACACATGAAGAAATATTCAAAATCTCTAGCTATTAGATGCAAATCAAACCTATGAAATACTATCTCACTGAAGTAACAATAATAAAGTTCACCAGGGCTGCAAACAACAGCAAACCGTTCACCAGGGTGAGGTTGTGGAGAGATTGGAACCCTGGTGAGAGATTATTTTACCTCTGGTGAGAATTTAAAATGGTACAACTACTATAGATGGTGGTCTGGCACTTTCTCAGGAAGCTGGAAATAGAAATACCATTTAATCCAACAATTCCACTACTAGGAATATACCCTAAAGAAACCAAAGCTGCCACCTAAACAAATGTATAATGTATGCACATCCATGTGTATTGCTACATTATTTACAATAGCAGAGAGATGGAAGCAACCCAAGTGCCCATTAACAAATGCATGGAAAGAAACTGTGGTATATTAATACAATGGAATACTATGTAGAACTGATAAACAAGGCACTAATAAAATATTACACAACATGGGTGACCCTGGAGGACATACTGAGTGAAATATCTCGGTCATAAAAGGACACATACTGCATAACACCACTTATAAAACATGGGGTTTTCTTGACATAGGAGTTGGAGAGAAACTAAGAAAAGAGGGGAATAAATAATGAATACTGCATTGGAACAGCTGAAGGGAAAAAACCTGTTAAAGGAATATATCCTGAGGTGTTATTTATGTGACAACAATCCAGAATAAGAGGTGTATAACAAAGTGGACTGGGGTGAGGGGAGGAAATTATACAACAATGAATGAAAAAAAATAAATTTTAAAGTGAACTGTGGGCGTGTTGTTGTTGTTTGTAGTTAGGCGCCTTTTCGTGAACTGGGGGGAGGTAGGGAAGAAAATGTGCAACCATGAATGTATGAAAATCCAACTTTTCTGTAAACTTTTGTTAAAATCACAATTGAAAGAATGGGGAAAAAACCCGAGATGCCCTATGATTTATACATATTTATCACTGTCTTGGAAAATATGATACTTGAAAAGTATGAATTTTGTGTTTTGCTGTATTGTGATGATTATACACTACAAATATTTGCATACATGTAAGTAATGTGGTCTAAATAAATAGATGAAAGAAATCAATCTAGGCTATGGGGGAAATGTAGGTCAAGAAGGTGAGGTTGGCTGCAAGGTGCTGTGATGCTGTTGATGAATGCCTATCGACTGACAGGAGTTGCGGGAATGTGATCCCGCTGGCTTGTAGCCATATATGGCGTTCCGGAATGTCCCTTCAGGACCTTATAAGTAACACATCACAAAACTTTTCTAAATTCCTTGGTTCCATTTCACCTGCTTTCTCCATGTGGCAATTTCTCCACTGAGAATGGTGCTGAGGAGGTGAAGACCAAGGAAATGTTACAAACTAGGAGTTCAAAGTACAGAATACAATTTCATTCATCTTTCCTTTTTCTGTGAACACAGGAGATTTGTAAAGAGAAGAAAATCTGGAAGGTTAACAGCTGGTTGTGCAGATGGTGTTGATGAATTGAATTTGGATTTCAGTATCATGGCTTAAATTTCTGGAAGGCACGGCTCTTGGCTAGGGATAGAATTGTATCTTACAGGGCTATGGGAGCGTGTGTTTGCATGCAGGCTAGCAGTCATGAGAAAAGTGTTTTAACTGGAACACAATATTGTAGAAAGTGTTTCAAGCTTCAAAGCAACAGACCATCTACCCAGATCCACCAGTATTCTAGCAGTCTTCCAGATTTTCTTGTTTGAGCCTGATCAGTAGCGCCTATTTTGTAGTTGAAATTTCTCCTTAGATTATTCTTCCCAATCAGGTTTGGTTTGCCTTTGTTGTTGTTGTTGTTATTGTCATGACTTACCCCCCCACCTTCACCCTTGCCTCCTCCTATCTGTCCACAGGGAGAACATTCCTGGTCTCTATGACAACATGGAATATTATCATTTTCTGCCTACTTCTTTTTGTTTTTGTGCACCATAGAGTGGGAACCAATCCACAGCTGACCCTCTGGCGAGTTTTCAGAGGCAGTTAATTGTACAGAAGATTGTGTCTCCTCCTCCTGCACAACAGCTGGTGGTCTTGACCCTCGTGCCTTTGTGATTGCAGTGCAGCTTCTTGTTACTAGGCCAGCAGAGCCTATTTCTTACATGTCTAAAATATGTTGTCATTGTTATTGTTGATGATGATTACAGTCCAGTCGAGCATGCCTCATAGCGACCCTATATACAAAAGGCCTGAAGCCTTTCTATAGTTATCGTCATTTATCAAAGTTTATAGAGTTTCCAGAGGAATGTTGTTTAGGAAGCGGATGCCACTCCTTACATTTACACTCACACTCCTTACTCCTACGCTTGAGCACATTACACTTTGTATTGTTGCTGTTGTGTCTCATGGAGTCAGAACCAACTCACAGCTGACGCTGCCTCTCGGCCCCCAGAACTCCGTTCATTCTATGTTTTGCTTGTTTGTATTCTTCAGGTCTAGCAGGATGCTTAGCATATAGTTCATAGTTCAAAATTCATAAATACTGTTTGAATGAAATAAGTGAAATAGTGCATTTATCTTTATTTTTCAAGTTTAATTCGAGAGTGGGCAGAGACTGGTTTCCAGGCTATTTAGCAGAACAAAAGGTTACAGGTGGTTCTAGTTATAGATCAGAGAGTTTGCAAAGCACAGCAAGTCTAACACTAATACTTTACCTCTTAAATGTGGCAAAATCTGATTTTATTCAATACAAAGGATTTGCTGGTAATTTTTGTTGATAAATGGTTTTATTCTTTTTTTAAAATTTATTTTAATAATTTTAATGAACATTTACAGAGATTTTGGATATCCATTCATTCATTGCTGCACTTCTCTCCCTGCCCAGCCCTCCTTCCTGTCCCCCGCCCCCCATTTCGCTCCTCTCTTTGAAAAGTAAAAGAAAAACTCCCTCCCTGGTACACAATCCGCCTCCCGCACCCCTCCCACCTTCCCAAAGAAGTTTTAGGGGGGGGAAATTCTTCCATGCACGTTATATCAAAGTACACATAAACACTTTAAACATATGTTGTTATGTGCTTTTGAGTCAGAAATTACTCATATCTGATCCTCCAGCAGACTTCAGAGCCTTAAATCTCCCGGGAGGAGATTGCACATCTTTCTCCGGGGTGGGGGAACAATTGGTGAATTCGAACTCTGAGCCTTTGGGTTGACTTCTTACTCCTAGTTCAGCTTCTTACCCCTAGGCTTCCAGAGCTCCCCTTTAAGCACGTTGTTGTTGTTATGTCCCATTGAGTCAGAACTGAGGAATCACTGGCCCTCCAGCAGGTTTTCTGAATCTGTAAATCACACAGGGGATGATGGCCCATCTCACAGTTCAGCTGGTAGATTCAACCCTCGTGCCTTTGGATTGGCTGCATAACTCTTCACCACTAAACCACCACAGCTCCCCTAAACACATAGAAAAGGTAGATTTTATGTACTTCCTTAGTAACCCTCCAGCAAAATAGATCGCTTGAAGAAAATCAGAGTCTGCTGAAATCACCGGATATTTTCAAAGATTCCGAAATCACTGGAAGTTTTCAGCTAAGCCTGGTATATTCAACGAAAAATAGTAAGTTTGGGTTTTACTTTTTTCTTTTTAAAAATTTTTAATTGATTTTCATTCAATAGCTCATATGCATTTTGTTTAATAGAGATAGTAAGTTTTAAAATCTTTTCTTACTGAAATTGCTAACAATCTGTATGGAGGGAGTAGCAGTGCTAATCCAAAGGCCGTGCGTGCGTCTCTGGCAGTTCAAATTCACTATGGCTTCTGCGGATTCAGACAGACTCTTTTTATGTTATTTGTTGTTTTTATTATTTACTAACTCAAAGCTGACCCTCCAGCGGCTTTTCAGAGGCAGTAAATAACACAGGAGGAGATTGCCTATCTTTGAAACTTGGTAAGGCTGTTGCATTCAAACTGTGTGCTTTTGGGATTTCAGCACAGCTTCTTACCACTAGGACACCAGGGCTCCCTAATTTATTTAATTTCGTCTTGAAAACCAAATGGAAGTACAGCTATGAGTTAGGTTCTGACTCGACAACCCCTGTTAGAGTGAAGATTTGTTAGTGTTATGTTACTCTTAAAGAATTGAAAGGAGAGTTTTTTAATTAGGAAAATGTCGCATAAACCAATTTTCAAGGTGAGAATTGTCAGAGGTAATGAAAAATGAATGTGAATAAAAAAGAACTAGAAATAGTTTCACTCCAAGGAGAATATCTTTTGTGGGGAATATAGGGCAAAGGGAGAGAGAAATAATTAGAATTTATTAAAGGTTATTTAATCATCAAAGTAAATATACTCTCAGAACTATGTAATGTACAAGGCACTGCTCCAAATAACTTTTATTCTAAAAGTAAAAATTCAATTTCTGTTTAATAGTCATTTACCATATTTAGGAATGTCTTTTTTAACCTCATTTAGTATAGTCTACTTTACCTCCAATTCCACTTGATAAAGCAAAGCAAAACTTCTTGTTATGTGCCATCAAGTCACCTGTCACTCATTGCAATCCTATGTGTCTCTGAAGCCTGCCCTGTCCTGAGTTAGTCTGTCTCTGACACACCCCCCCCCATTATACAAGTTAGTGATTTTTTACAGATTTCAATACAGGCATAATTTTAAATATGGAATTAATATAGCAAAACTATTTGGAAAATATATCTATGCTAAGATGGTGCTAATCATTAGTCATTGATTCAACCTTAATTCCTTCACCATTGAGTACATAAATAAAATATAGAGAGATAAGTAGCTTTGAAAATTCAGGGAAATGAATCATAATCTTATAACTCCAGGACAAAATTTTGAATTGTCAAAGGGACAGTGAGGCAAATTTTAGGATGAGGAATGGAAAAGGAATGTTTTCACCCATTCCACTGTGATTATATTTCACTTACCAAATACCTAAGAAGTAAATGTTTTCAGATACCAAACCAATTTATTTTTAACACATTATTGAAGCCCTGGGATACTATGATTGATGAATTTGGTTGCTATCCAAAAGGTCAGAAATTCTAATCTACAAGTCACTAGGTGGAAGAAAGATGGTATCTTCATCCGTAAAGACAGCCCTGAACACTATGTAGCACTTCTGCTCTGTCCTAAAGGATCTATATGAGTTAGAATTGATTCAGTGACAATGAGATTATGGGGTTTATCACATCATGACCTCACGTGTCAATTATATTTCATATTTCCAGGTCTCATATTTCCAGGAAAATAATATCATTAGAACCAAATGTGTAATAATGATTTATTCCTTGTGGTAGATGAAGATCATTTCAGTAATGGTGCTCAATTTACCTAATCTGCTCTGTAGTCATTCCTTTAAGTTATTCCCTCAAACTCTGACTCTGGGCTGGCTGTTTTGCTTTGGACAATGAGACAATCGCAATGTACCTGAAACTATTACCTGAAAGTATTTGAGGCAGTCAAATCTCAGCACGTTTAAAAGCCCAAGATCATTAGCTAAAAAGGAACAAATGGATCACCAATGTCTACACTGAAACTCTACTGTCCTGATCAGTTGCTAATGATTAGAATGAAGAAATGGTAAATGTAACAATTAAAGCAAATTATTATGAAACTATTCTGAAGTTATAAATAAATTAGTAAATTAAAGGGAGAGAGCATTATGATCCAAACACAAAAGGAAGCGTTTTGATGAATTAGACAAAAACGTCTCATATTTATTATGTCAGCAATACTTTAGAAAGCACCTGCTTTACATTATCAAAAATCAAGAACATAAATTAGTTTAGTGTAAATTTAAAATAAGGCTTCATCCAAAACACTATCGCACAAATAGAGAGTGGCTGAGATGAGAAGACATATAATAAAGGCTGTGGAAAGTTGACCAAAATGTCAAGAATATGCAAAATAATATCAGATTTTAAATGGACTATAAAATGGTTAATAAAAGCTACAAAATGAGCACACATGTGCTGCATCCAACAAATTTGAGACATGCTTAAAAGTGGGAAGGAAAAGGTTAAATGGGGAAAAGTGATAATAGTTAATAAATGGGCAAAGCAAAGGTGAAAATTGAAACTCAGCACAATTAATGCTCTTAAAATTGTTCAGGGAAGTGAATTTGAAGAAATAAATTTTAAATATTATTTACTGAAATGAAGAATCTGTACAGAATGAGGCAGGAAGTGAGGGATAGATCATATGCAAGTGGGTCAGATTATATGACGCTATGAATCTCAAAGAAAAGGAGTCATTCCAGTCAGAAGGATTTAAGATTTTTCTTTAAGGAAAGTACTTGGGCATATTTGTATAGTTAAAAAGATAATTTCTTTATGTATATATATTGGGAAGGGTGGTATTGACCCCTCCACTGTGCATATCAAAGTTAGAAAAATGTTGATAAGCAAGAAAAATTTTAAAAAAAGATACTCAGTAGGGTGACTGGTGAGAACAGTGGAAGTATTCATATGTTACACAGTTGTGGTTTTTCGTGCCAGACTCTTCTCTTCTTTAAAGCATATTGATAAAAAAAATCCCTGAAAGTTTT